TTGGCAACAATATATGATAAAATTTTGATATGTTATGTAATTATGGGGTCAGAAGGGGCCAGAATGTAAAATCTTTAATGCTTTATATCTCAAAAAGCGGAAATATTTTGATAAGCAATATTGAAAAAAAGATGGCAAGAATAATGTTCTAAGCAATATGTATACTTTGAATTTGTGTAAAACGGCCCCATTGAGGACTTGTAGGAGTGACCCTTAAAAATATTTTTATTTAACATATCTCCACAACAAATAGAAGATTCTGAATAAGTCCTGAACAAAAAATCTTCAAAATCACAAGACCTTTCATTTGATCTGAAGAAAAAGGGGCTGACTTCTTAAATTAGGGGCTTAGAGGGGTCAAAAGTATTTCATCTTCAACTCTTTCATGATCGATGTTTTTTTTTTATAAGTATCCATTATGAGAAGCAAAGATATTCATCTTAATGATTTGCAACAATACATTATAAAGTTTTGATCATAAGTTACGTAATAAGTGGCTGCAAAATGCTACATCTTTCATGCTTTATATCTCGAAAAGAGGGGGTATTTTTATAAGCCATACTGAACAAATGATGTTCAGAATATTGTGATAAAAATCAGAAACTTAAAAAGAAATAAAGGAAGACTTTATGTCATTCTCTTTTCACGAATATCTCAGTCAAAATCACATCTCATCTTATCGAGAAATTCAACGGAAGACCTACTCGTTGCTCGCAACGAGATCTCATCTAGTTATTATTATTTTTCTTCTTCCTGGGAAAATCTTTTCCGCGAATGATCTTGTAAACTACACATCTGACTAAGGTGAAACCTTTTTAGGGTCAGTAGGCATGTTATGTAGATTTGCGGAACAAAGGTCATTTTGCGCGCACGTGCTTGCAAGAGCGTACACGTGCAACGCGTGAAATGACCAATATAATGAATATTGCCGTAACTTTTTTAATTTTAGATAAAATGTTTTGAAACTCATAATATAAGGATATATTAGTAGCATAGACAAGATGACATGGTCAAAATTGCAAGATCTCACGCGCATGCACGTGCGCTTCGCTCTGATTGGCTGAAACTAAAGTCTCGATATCTTTCTTGTTTTTTGATAAAATCATTTGAAATTTTGAATATAGTCATACATTAGGGAGATCTAAAGCCTGGTATAAAGGAATTGTCATGAAAGAATGTGCATGCACGTGTGCTTGCAAGAGCGCTCACGTGCAACACTAGAAATGTCCAATATAATTGATATAAACGTAACTATTTAATTTTTTTATGAAATGTTTTGAAAGTTATAATATAAGGATATATCAGAAGCATAGACTAAATGACATGGCAAAAATAGTAAGATCTCACGCGCATGCACGTGCGCTTCGCCCTGATTGGCTGAAACTAAAGTCTCAGTATCTTTCTTGTTTTTCGACGAAATCCTTTGAAATTTTGAACATGGTTATACATTATAAAGATCTACAGCATGGTATATAAGAATTATCATGAAAAGCATGCGCATGCACGTGTGCTGCAATCTGATTGGCTGATATTTTAATTGTCTATAACTTTCTTAGTTTTCAACGAAACGGGATAAAATTTAGAATATGAATAGGTATCATGGATTCCTACGTAATGGTACTATCAAAATTGAATGCACGAACATTCTTTCATGCAAGTGCGCGCGCGAAATACGCAAAAGGGCCAATATTTTTAAAAGACATTAAAATGTATATTGTAAAGATTTTTTTATTTATTCTCACGATATATAGATATGCTTATTGTTTAGACAACATGCTATGATCATCTTGCATGTACATGCACGTGCGTGCGCGTACAATGCGTTAAATGACATATAGTTGATATCATTATACCTTTTATAATTCTTTGATGAAATCCTTCGATACTGATCATATTTTGTAAAATGTCTTACAGGAATTAGGCACAAAAAGGGATTTGGGGAGCGTTTGGGGAACATCTGTAACGGTCCCCGTTACAATTAGCACTAGTTTATACACTGAATTGACGAGGGATTTTCCACTTCATGACAAGGGGCATACGGCGGGTGTGACCGGTCGGCAGGTTTTGCTCACTCCTCCATGGTACCTGATCCCACCTCTGATGTTTAGCATGTCTGTGTTTGCTCTGCTCCTGTTTTGTATTGTTTTATGAACTTTTGATCTTGAATACTGTTCATATCTCCATATGTTCCATGTATATGGAATTGATTTATAATTTTATATACGCGTGTTCATGCAGTGAAGTTAATTAAATATACTGACTATTGAAAGAAGAGGAGCTAACAAGGCGTTCAGAATACCCATAGCTTCAGATATATAAAAATCATATTCAATTTTTGAAAAGAATTTAGAGTAAATTTTTCATTATTGAAATTAAGATAAACAAAACCTTTCTGAGAAAAATTTTCTCGAAAAAAAAAATTATTCCAGACCTGTTATTGTACATGGTATTCGTGGGGTTCGAACCCCCTAGCAATAAAACATTGAGTATCACCACAGGCACTTGAGGGCTGGACCCCCCTTTTTTCACATCATACTGAAAATGTCCATTGAAAGATTGGTTGGACCCCCCACTTCTTACCAGAGTATAGTGATATCAAGGAAATGTAGCATTGTATTATTATGCCAAAAAAAAAAATTGGCCACCCCCCCCCCCCCCCAAACATCGAAATTAGAATTTCTTCAAAATCCCTCCCTTCTTTTTTGCTTGTCAACTTTTTCAGGTAAGTAAATTTTTTCTTGCCCCCCTTTAAAAAAGGTCGCACGTAGCATCGTTTTTACCCCCCCCCCCCCTCGGCCCCCCTGTTGCTACGCGCCTGCTGAAGCAGAGGTTTTACCACAAAAATCAATAAGATGATTAATGACACATTTTATGTTTGTTTAACTTTGATTTTGTTGAGTAAGTCTTTCAACAGATTTCACAGGGAAACCGCGCATATTTTCAACGTCTACATGAAAAATACATCTGAAAAAAAAATGAGAAACTTAATTCTAATTACACTTTATAATATTTATCTAATTTCTTAAACAACAGATCTATGTTAAGCTGAACATAAAAGACAGTTCCAATTTTAATTTATATACCAGGATCTTAGCAATTACAGAGGCGTAGTCACAAACTTAAAAGTGGGGCGGGGGGCTCAACTCCAGAAATTCTTTGACAAGCAAAAAAAAAAAAAACCAGATTGAAAGTTCCCCAAACTCGAAAATCCTATTTCATGGGGGTGGGGGTGGGGGAGAAAACAACAAGATTGAAAGTTCCCCAAACTCGAAAATCCTATTTCGTGGGGGTGGGGGTGGGTGGGGGGTTAGTGGCCAACTTTTTCAAAGGCACGTTACTTTCAATTCCAATTTTTTCCCCCCACAATTTTTCGATATCACTATACTATGGTCAAAAAGTGGAGGGGGGGGGGGGGGCAACTATCCCTTCAATGAACATTTCCTATAGTAAAGGTAATGTTGGGGAAAAAAGTGGGGGGGGGGGGCGGTCTTTACGATTTAATTACTATATTACACTACAGTACTATATTATACAACTATTACTTATAGAGAAATGCTTACTCATTTGTTGAACATAAGAAAAATGCCATTAAATGAGGTTTAATATTATTTCAAAATAGCTGTGATTTTGTTCTTCATTAAAAAGTGGGGGGGGGGGGGGGGGGGGCACAGACATACTCTTGCCCCCCCCCCCCCCGATCTGGAAGTGGGGGGGGCTAGTGCCCCCGCTGCCCCCCCCCCCCCTGTGACTACGCCTATGAATTAAAACAGAGCAATACGATTGATATACATTGACTAAAAATTATTCCTTCCCCCAGCCTCCACTAAAATCTTCACCCCCGAGTGCCACACACTTAAATTGAAGTCTGTCACCTTTATTTGAGATGGAATTCTCCGAAACATTAGAGTGTCTGGAGCAAAATCATATCTAGAAGCCCCTCACATAAATCAAATGAAGCTGAGTGATATATAAGGCACCAATTTTCACAAAGAAACGGTCAAATTTGCGTTCCCGCATGCTCTTGCCAGATATTGCGGAAGTGTTCATGTATTTCTAGGACGAATCCCGAGCTGGGAAACGAGTAACAGTAAGCTGGGATATCACTGTGTTCCGCCGTAAGTGAATTGAGGATTATTTTCATCTCAATCACTGTAGAAAAGCTAATCAGGTCAACGAGCATTGAAAATTCCGCTTCGAATTCCTCACCCCGGGTGGCACCATTCCGCGCCCCCATATGTGGGGTTAGGCACGGTGATCACTAATGATTTGTTTGTAGAACTATTAACGATTTAGTCTACACCACTTGAGGATGATTTCATACAAATGTGATTTTACTGTATATGATATGATTTTCAAGATTTTCCTTTGTAAAAATTTCGATCGTCGGTAGTGGTCGCACCCTAAACCAAGAGGTCTAGCTTGATATGACAAATCATGATTTGCTGTTAAGAAGATTTTCAACATTCCCCCTATGCATTCTTAGTTACCCTACCCTACTCCGAGGTCATGATTTAAACAAACTTGAATCTACACAATCCAAATTTCATTTATTTTTGCCCGAGTTTCTTGAAATGTTTTTTTTACCTATCTCCATTTCTTAATTACTTCCATTGGAAGAGGGTATAACTTTTTCTATTGGAGATTTATATTTTCATATTTTCCAACATAAAGGTTGATGAACTTGTGATCTGCAAATAAAGGTGACACCATCAACAGATGAGGTAAGAATTGAACAGACCATATTAACGGATAGCTTAACAGGCAATACACACTATAATATTAATCTGACAAACTTCTGTGCAAAATTGTGTAAGTATAAAAGCACACCACAATTTTTTAAAATATAAACGTGTTTATTGAATCTTCAACGAAAGGCAAAATCTTTTATTGGAGAGCAAGGATTTGATCTCATGCATATAATTCATTTTAATTACACTGTACATGTATAAAAATTCATGTACTGATATTTAATCAGTTTGCGACGCTTTGGTCTTGGCAAATTTGTTGAATCTTAAAATTGTGAATTCCAAATATCTTATTTACAACGAAGTTTCTTCTTCTTATTTGAGCATATATTAGGATGCTTAGGAGGTTTGCGACAAGCTGCACAATTTCTTATTCTCCATGTAGCAAAGTAACTTCCACATTCGACACATTTTGGAACTTTCTTAAACAGATCTATATTTGGATCAGTTTGAGAAGAGCTCTCACCTGCTGCACTTGAGTGATCTTCAAAATCATCAGCTAATGTTGGAAGTCTTTGTTCTCGCTTCAATACGTCAGTTTCATCTTCGGAATCATCCGATTTTTCATATAGCACTAAGTATTCATCATCAGGATCGATATCCTCTGTAAAATTTCGCCGCCAAGATTCTTTCATGTTGGAATTGACACCGAAAGAGGAGGATTCAGAGTATTTCGATCCACTCTCAGAGGATGTTGATGATAGCTGTAACTCATCTCCATAATTAGTATCCTTGTTTTCTATTCCATATCCTTTTGACTCGAAAAAATCTTCATGAATCGAGGGTCTGTATACATTCACATTTGTCTTGGGTGTTGAGGATGAACGTGTGTTAGCGTCAACTTCAAGAGAAGACAGCCAAATAGCTTCCAGCTCTGGATCAGTTTCACTTCCACTGCCTCCTGACGCCTGAACCATTTCATCCTCAGATAGATCGGATGTATATCCAAAATCAGATTCACTTCTCATTCCATGAAAACTTTGAGGTCCATATTCTTTCTCCTCCATGTGTAAAGCTGACAGTTTGTTCTGTGTAGTATTTTGAGAAGACAGATGGTGACTCGTTTCCTCTAATTTTTGCAGTACGCTGAAAGTTTCGGGTCGTATGGCTCCTTCCTCCCCGCTCTCCGTTAAGGTATCCCTGTGTTCTTTGACAGATACGACATCCAAACAATGCAAATAATTTTGACTCCATTCAGGCCTATCATTTCGATTAAGACTATCCTCATCTGCATTAGTCTTCGTTGGAATCCATAGGACCTCGTCATCGGACTCCGTGGTTTCTTCGGCGAAATCTGAAGCATACTCCACATCATCAACATTATCCTCGAAATTTTCATCTAGGTCTCGTCTCGAGACATTGGCGTTTTGCTCTAATGCAACTGATGGATTCAATACTTCATCTTTTATTTCTTCCACGATTGTGTTTGCAGTCTGAATCCACTCAGTTGGATTATGTTTTTCTTGGATGAAGTTTAAATCTTTCTCTGATGATTCTTCTAAATCATGCTTAGTGATGATGTTGCTAACTAATGCAGCTGAAGTTTCTCTCTCCGATTCTAACCATAAAGATTCAACTTCCGAATCAGTATCAGTGTTGCAAGCATCTGAGGCGTACCCTGCCGTGTCATCAGACGAAGAGGAGAGATCTTTAATCACTTTCTCCTCTACATTACCAATGCCTACAGATTCAATTTCATTCGAGAAAATTGTTCCCTCTGTAACACTTGTTCTTTCGGTTGCATTCTTCTCCACACTGTCAATGCCTTCAGGTTCAATTTCATTGAAGAAAATCCTTCCCTCTGAAACGCTTTCGATTGCATTCTTTTCCACACTGCCAATGTCTACAGATTCAATTTCATTGAAGAAAAATGTACCCTCTGAAACACTTGACTTTTCGATCGCATTCTTTTCCACATTGCCAATGTCTACAGATGCAACTTCTTTGAAGAAAATTATTCCCTCTGAAACACTGGCCCTGACATTTTCAGCGGCACCAATGACATCAATTGGCGATGCAACGGATATATCACTTGTATTGGATAATAAATTTTGTACACTCTGAATCATTGTGTCCTGCAATAAATAAATTGATACTTTAAGTAAGTTACAAAGACAATTCTTAAATTTCTGTTAAGAGCGATGGTAACACTTTAGATATCAAGGAAATAAATGAATTTGTAACTAACTATAGAAATTGCAGAGAATGAAAAATGAAAGTTTTAGCCAAATAGTGCTCCATAATTAATGTGAAGTTTCATGTCGTTATATACATGTATAACTATTCCCTTTAACATTTTATAGAGTTACAAAAATTCAGCATACACGCATAATATCCTTAAATGTTTTGATAAAAACTTACCTTCACAACACTCTTCTTTCTGTAGAAAAGTACAACAATTATCTGCAGGAGAATCCACCCGACAACAACCTGAAACAAAGCCACGATTTAGAAAATTCATGTTAAATAGTATATGGTATAAAGTTCTACCACAGAAATGGTAAAAAATTATATTTTTGTAAGTTTTCTGTATAAAATTTCTTTCTTTCAATATATAAATTCTCGGCAATAAGTATAAGAATAGGTGAAATACGGTTTCGGTGACATGTGCACTGAAAAAAAGATATAAGCTTTAAGAAATCTCTCTACACTGACACCATAAAGAGTCCTGACTCATTGGTATTTTTCAGCAGTTAATGTGATATGCCCTTAAATCGCAATACTATAAAAATAGAAAATAATTTTATTGTACAAGTATAGATAGTTTTCGATAGGCCAGAATTTAGCAAGATTTATTTCCCGTTGGCCACCATATTGGGGGTCCAAATGCTTTCATTGTTCAACCAATTTTAAATTTTTATATAAATAATTTGCTATTTTGCATTTATTTAGAAATTATTATTTTTCTGAGGTATATAACTTTTTAAAAGCCTCCTTTATTAAAAAATTAATAAAGATTTTCCAACAAAGATTTCTGCTATATTCTCATAAACTTGGTTAGACAAAGGGAGGAAAAATCACCAAGTCGACCTCCAATATCAGGCGATCGAAAACTATATCTATATTACTAAATTTGTAATCAATTCAAGCATTCTTAAAATTTTAAAAGTCCGAAATAAGTTGAATGAAATAATTATAAAAGTGATTGCTATTCACTTATTATATTGTTGTGTTTCAATATTTTTATGCGCCCGGATCGATAGATCCAGGGCGTATATTGTTTTTGTCCTGTCTGTCTGTCTGTTTGTTTGTCCCGAACTTTAACCTTCACCATAACTTTTGAACCATGAAAGATAGAGACTTCATATTTGGTTTGCATACTCCACTAATTAAGCTCTTTCAAATGACACCAAGGTCAATGACCTTGTCTGTGGCCTATATGCTTAAAATAGCTTTTTTCTGCAAACTTTAACCTTCGCCATAACTTTTGAACCATGAGAGATAGAGGCTTCGTATTTGGTATGCAAACTCCACTTACCAGGTTCTTCCAAATGACACCAAGGTCAATGACCTTGTGACCTTGACTGTGACCTTAATGCTACAAATAGCTTTTTCCGATCTTTGTTGCCGTCGGGCGCATAGTGTTTCACAAACACATCTTGTTCATTGGGGTAAATGACACGTACCATATAGTTAAAATTAATTAAATAAGCTCAATATTAACACTTTTATATGAAAAAAATTTCAATGTCCAAAAAAATTTTGCACTGGTGTAGAAAATGTCATTAAATTATCATATCGGAATAAAATACAGAAACCATACCAGTATGACCTCATAGGACGTTGGACAGACAGGTTCGGGGACTTTTTGCAAACCGAGAGTTTGAAGAATTGTCTCCAGGAACGATGGATCGGGTTCACGACTAAAATGGAAAATCAACTATTAGTTTTAAAACATTAATATCCCTTACATAAGATCTAAGAAATAAAACATTTAGACATTGTACGTTTTGAAAAGATCTATTATTATTTTCAAATTTGTTTTACGAAATTCTTCATTCTTAAAATTAAACTTTAGACAAGCAGATGTTTACCAGGAGATGTAATCCGCAAGTTTATAAGTGGTAACACTGGCCAAAAGAGCATCCACTCCACCGAAACAAAAAATCTTCCTTCCAATTGACATTTTTCTATGTTCACTAGGGTTGAAATCTTTTCACCCGAAATTAACAGTTTTTACATTTGTGACGTCACGTAATTGTTCATGAGTTGAAGTCTTAAACGTCATAATTGATTTACTCTTTTCTGAAAATTATGTTGCATATCATGTTACTGTAACGATCTAAAATTTTTAAAACTGGTATCGAAGATTATTTTTTTTTTAGCTTAACATATCTTTCATTAATTAATTTATTTATTTATTCATTCATTACCTGCTTGTTTCCTGATTAAAATATATCGCAGAATTGTTCTGACATTTAAATTAAAAAGTTAGAATTGAAATATATCAGGTATTAAATTTATTAAATGTTTTTTTTTATTCAATTTAAAAAAGGGTCATTGTTATCGATTAATATTGCATTTTATTTCTTCCCTAATGACTCTTTTATTTATTAGAGATTACTAAAACGGATTTTTAAAGATTTCTTTTGAGGACAGTCAAGAAAAAAATAAATATCACAACAGTGAGTGACAGGTTTCGAAGAAGTTTAAATTGATTTCGAAGTAACTATTGAACGACTTAACTTCTTTTTCTTGACATCCGTTTCGTCGTACGACCTGATTGTGCAACAACATGGCCATGGAGGAAGTTCGGAATGCTGGGGATGCGAGAGAATTGACTTTACGTGGTCCACACATAAGCAAAGCCATAGAAGAAAATGGATTAGATGAGAAACTGTTTGAGCTTACTAATCTGAATTATCTTTGTGTATCTCAAACATGTCTAAAACATGTATCACCCAGGTTAGGAAACCTCGTAAATCTCACTAACTTGGTATTGCACCACAACCAATTGACGGCTTTACCAGAAGAAATACAATGCCTGACAAAGTTAAAGTTCCTCGATTTATCAAACAATCAAATAGAGGAATTGCCGTTATCAATAACAAAACTCGCAAATCTAGAGTCTCTGAATGTAAGTGTTAACAAGCTACTTTCATTTCCCCCAGTTAATGAAATGAAATCTCTTCACATTTTAAATATTTCTCACAACAATCTAACAGAATTACCAGAAGGAATATTTGATCCTGAGTTAGTCCATTTGCACACGATTATGGCTGGAAATAACGAAATGGAACATTTGTCACCAACTGTAACTGATTTGCCTCATTTACAAACACTGGATTTGACAAACAACAAATTGAAAGAAGTGCCAGCTGAACTTAGTGTATGTCCAAAACTCAAAACACTCAGCCTCACGGGAAACAAATTCTCAGATAGAAGATTCGGGAAGTTGGTAGAGCAATGTTTGACCAAGGCTGTCATGGAATACCTAAATAAAAATCTGAAAAAAGAAAAAGGACAAAACCCAGATAAGAAAGCAAAAGGGAAAAACACAAAACTAACAAAAAAAGACCTTAAGAAGGAAGAAGATGATGATGTGGAATTTTTGACAGATGCTTTGAATGTGTTACACTTTCCAGACAAAGGTGGTTTGGTTGTGTCTGTTACTCCCGCTGTGTTGTCTGTAAGACCATACATTGTGTGCTGTATTGTAAAAAACCTGGACTTTCAAAAGACATCCAACTCTTTCAAGCAATTCATCACCCTTCAGGTTTCTACATTTTCTTTCATAATGATCGATTTTAGTTTCTATCCTATAGATATCCACATATTTAGATGTAAACTACATGTGAATTTACATTTTTTTAGACCAAGCTTCATGACACTCTGTGCAATAAACGTCAAGCAGCCACCATTGCTACTCATGATCTGAAGAGTGTGAAAGGTCCACTCAAGTTTGATGCCCAATTTCCATCTCATCTTATGGTATGTCCAAGTATAATTATTGTATTTAATTGTTTATTAACTTATTTGATGGAACATTTCCTGATTCTAGTGATAAAAAAACTTTTTGTCAATCTATTACTGTTATAATTTCTACTTCATACCATGAAGGCATAAATAGAAAAGCTTATCGAATATTTCAGATTATCCCACTTTCCCGACAGAAGGAAGTTACAGGAGAAAAGTTAGTGGAGGATCTTCTGAAAGAAGCAGAGGCGTTACGAAAGGAGAAGAAAAGAAGCACAGTGTCTGGTATTCACAAGTATGTACTTAAAGCAATACTTGTATTAGACTTCCTATATGTATAGGTGCTTAATTCTTATTTTATAGTAAATGTACGTACAATAAATGTCATGTACATGTATGCAAATTTATGAATCTTTTTAGACACTAGAGATATATTTTCATGTAAAAACAAACCATAAAGTTTTAATTCTATATACATGTATTCCATTCTTGTTATTCCTTTAGAAATAATGATGCAAGCTTTGCATTCTTTACAAGACTGGCGTGCATCATTTTAAGAGACATAATGTTTTTAAAGAATTTGATATTTTATCATTCTTCAATGCACCATGAAAATATATAAATATAAGCATTTTATGGTAAATTAGCACAGACTTAATTACACATTGAATGTCCAAAACTTTCTATTCAGTGGTTAACTGTTGTAATTATTGATGTTTCTCATTCAAAGCCGAAATGCAATGTGTTCTTAGTGATCTTATTATAATTTTCCTTTTTAAATTTAACTTTTCAATATTTCCAAAACTGATAATGTTAAAAAGTTTGATCTTTAAAGAGAAGAATAAGGTCTTCTTTGGGAATTGCTTGGGCTTCTTGAAAAAGTTTATATGGACTTCTTTTTTCAGAGTAACAGTGACTTTATGTGCATTGATTATTGTTGTCTAGGTACCTGGACTTGCTGAAAGATAAGATCCAGTATCCCTGTTTACTGGACTCAACTGGAGCTGTCATTTCCTTCCCCCCGATAACCAACAGCAATAATACCAAGGTACTCAGGTGTAGACCAAACAAATCCTTGTACAGAGGTGAAAGGGAGAAGGAGGGGGATTTAAAAGAGAATTGATTAACAGCTGATTCAAAACAAAAATTGAGGGAAGGGAACTTGAAGGAAATTTTAAACAAAAATTTCAAAAAAAAATGTAATTAGACAGGGCTAGACAAATAGCACTGCCCGACGCCCGGGACAACCAGTTTTGGTTGGTGGGCAAGTAATTTGATAACAGATGCCTGCCCGCGGACAAGTGATTTTCCAATTAAACAAAAAAAAAATAATGTCTGATATACTCAAATATCTTTTGTGTTATCGCTTTAAAAGTATCATGAATCACAGTAAAGCACTTGTTTTCACTGCTGTTGACCACTGCATCGCTGCATATGCGTACATTGAATAGTCGGAACTCCTCTAGATTTTACCAATTAACATATTGTTAAAATATGCAGATGTCGTAAAACATGGAATTACTGATGTCGTCAAAACTATCGTATGGGAATTTAGACATTTATTGTCAAAATATTGAATTCATACTGTGAATACAGATGCTAGTGGTATTGAATTTGTTGTTGATTGTTGTTCCCTGGAAATCACACAGCCATGGTGTCGATCTCTTAATTGACACGCAGTAGTGTTCTGTTCAAAGACTCGCGCTCGTGTTGTTTGTAGGTTTATTCATGATTTTATAGATCTATGGTGGTCTTAGTGTATTGTTTAGGTGTCTCACTCAAGAAATAATTTACATGTAATATCAATACTTCAATTCAATGTAATTTAAGAAAAAGGTGGGACAAGCATATTTTTTGGTGGGACAGGTAGTTTTACGATAGTAACCTGTCCGAGGGCAAGTACTGCAAAATTGTATTTGTCTACCCCTGAATTAGAAATTGCAAATGGAAGTATGACTATTTATTCATTATGAGGTTTAAGAACAGTAGCTTAACATTTTACCTAATTATATCCTTAAAAAAATGATAATAAGGAAAAATGTTATTTTAGATATCCAAGGAAACAACTTCTATACTGGTTGAGGTCACCAGTTCTACCAATCTTGATGTTTGTAAAAAGGTTTGTGATGAACTGCTAGTCAAAATGCTAGAGATGGGCCTGGGAGAAAACTCCACAGGTAAGACGAAGATTTTATACAAATTACTTGTTATGTTTAAATTGAAAATAGTCTCTGTATTGGGTTTGGAATTTCTGTATATCCCCACATGAAAAGAAACAAAATACATAACCCTTTAGCAGAATTAATACACAATGCATGTTGCACGATTGATTTATCTGATGAAAAAAGTTTATAAGTGAAAAGAGAGATAACTGTTTTCTAAAATAAGGAATGAATCATTAGTATTTTCTAATACAAGAATCTAAAAGTTTTTTACAAGGATGGTAGCCTTTTTGTTAATACTTGACTAATGTTTTTATACAATATATTACTGATATTTCCATTTTGGAAATCTCAGTACCAGTACCATGGTTTTATACTGAATATTTCAATCAAATACATATTACAGTGAACCTTGTATATATTTTTATAATGTCACACTTCGTCAAGCAATATTGACGGTTTCTAAGCTGGAAGGTGTGACTTCATTATTCATAGTGTTTTACTTGATGAATAGTGTTTTTTTTTAACATGATCTGCAATAATGTAGCTCTCTCGATATTTTTAATCTGAATTAGATTTTAATGTTATCTGATGTTTAAAAAAAGAATTGAGAGGACTACATTATTGAAGCTAGCATCATCTATAATGTAGCCTCTACTATATTTTTAACCTTATGTTTTAATCAAAAAATATTGAGAGGTTTTCATTATTGCAGCCAACATGACAGCATATTTTTTTCATTCAAAAAATATTTTTTTTATTGTAGGAGAAGAGGCTTCTTCATCTCCAGCACAGAAGACATTGACTGTAGAGCAAGTCAAAGTGAACGATGAGGAGGGAAATCTCAGAGTTGTCTACCCTTCCAGAACCGACCTTAATCACCCGGGAATCAAGGTCAACAGAAATTATGAATAAATGGAGGGATTTATCTGAAATACAATTAAAAAACTGAATATGTGTAATTGTTTGTTATTAGTCTTTGTCAGTTAAGTAATAGAGATAGTAGAGAAGCTGTAAATGTCTTAATGAGGTTTAGAGAACTGTAAGTCACCTGACTGACAAATATAACCTAATTAATTTCGCAATGTTAGTAGATATTTTCCATAGATCTATATTTTCCATAGATCTATTTAAGAAATAACAAATTTTTTGGTTTCATGATGTGATCAATCGATTGGCTTGCATGATTATTTGCATAAATGCCGAATTCACGTGCTACTAGACCTGCTTCTGTCTTTATTTGTTCCACCACGCACGAGATAATTTTTATAACCATGCCTATCCACAGAGCCAGGAAAGATGAAACTCATGAGGAAACATCCAATTCAAATTTGTTCAAATCATGACCCCCAGGGATAGGATGGGACCACAATGGGGGATCAAAGTTAACATGCCAAACTGTTGGCATGATAGTAATCGGCATTGAGCCCTCTACCAAAATTGAGAAATTCATGGCCCAAGGGTCAGGAGTTCTAATGATTATATAGTGAAAAGGCATAAATTGTTTGAAAATCTTCTCCTCTGCTCCTGGGTATTAAACACTTAACTGTGTACATAGTTATAACGTGGAAGGCTGTCTCTTCCAAAATTACGAAATTTGTTGCGCCTGGGTCAGGGGTTCTGGTGTTATGGGAGGGGGGTTTCTAATGATTATATATATAGTGAAAATGCATGAATTCTTTGGAAATCTTCTCTTCAGCTCCTGGGTATTAAACAAATGAAGTTTGTACATAGTTATGGTGAGGAAGGGTGCTTCTTCCAAAATTTTGAAGTTCATGGCCCCTGGGTCTGGGGTTCTGGTCTTAGGGCAGGGCTCCTGATTATATAGTGAAACTGCATTACTTCTTTGAAAATCTTCTCCTTTGGTCGTTATATTATTCTGATGATCTAAGTATATTGTTATGATGAACAAAGGGCCTTCCAGAAATGTAAATGTCAAGGCCCCTGGGTCAGGGGAATGGGGTGCTCTAATGATTGTCTACTGTACTAAAGAAATTAAAATAATGCTTGGGAATATGCTCCTTGAAATTGATCAAACATTTGTGCCTTTTCCAAAGTTGTGAAATGTTTGGCCCCAGAGTCAAGGCTCCCTTGCCGATTGGGCACTACTATTTATTGCTGATTGTTACTGATTAGTGGAAGTGCATTTTTTCTTTGTTCCCCTACTCTGCTTTGTGGATATTAAGTTATCAATTTAAGGCATGCTACATGTTTAGTTATGAGCAATGCTGCATCTTTCAGAATTGTGAATGTCATGGCCTCTGGTTTAAAACACGAACCAAATTGAATTTTTGAAAAGTTGTCACATGATACTGTCTCAGGTGACCTATAAGGACCTCGGGCCTCTTGTTTAGTTCACCAGGACAAATGTCTGATCAACATTTATTATACACCTTCTGTTGCCGTTGGTGTCATGAACACAAGATTCGTTTCGGGCTGTTGTATTCCGAGTCCTTTATTGTTGTTTCATTACGGAATAGCATGGTATCCCCTGACAGTTTGCTTGATATTAAAATAAAATTAAAACCGAAAATATATTGATACATTTATAAATGTTGATCCAAACAATCCTATTGAACACGTTTCCTATCTTCTACGAATCAGCCGCATATTTGTGCATTTGTGACTTTTTTTTTCAAAATCATCATGTTCTAGTTTTTTGCACACTGGCCTTCAGAAATCTACTAAACTAATATACATATGACTATTTTATTGTACGGTTTGCTTGACAAAGTTCTTGATTGGAAGGAAAAGTCAGAGCCGAGTCTCTCATCTTTTACATCAATTTTTGGATTTCGTTATTTTTGTTCCTATAACAAAGGATATTCTTTTTGAGGCTTTATCTTAACAACTTTCATAGAAGAGACTTCATTTTTATTTGGGGAGGGAGGGGGACTTAAAAAATATCCTATGTATTGATAAGCAGCCATAAAAAGACAAATGCCCAGAGTCATTGAGTCATACTGACGGTACAATCTGTACTTTTTCTATGAATAATTTAGAATTACATTGTAGTTTCACAAAGCAGACATGCTGATTCGCAGAAGGATGAAATATTTATGTACTAACATCAAACAAACATAACAAAAGGCTCAACAAGCCGAATGAATTGAAAGATTTTTCTGCGTGATACATTTTTAAATTAATAATTTATTAGCTTATTTACAAAAACAAAGGGGCTTACAAAGTCAAAAACTATGATATTGAACACATGTACATGTATACAAGTACCGACATACTCTGACTTGTATTATATCCTACAATAAATAATTCGAACAAATAACAAATATCGGATTCTGTAAATCATTCCTGTCAATAGAACCTCATTGATGGAGGGTGGGAATGACGGGATACATGCCTCAGACTGACCCCCGACGTAACACTGCCCTACAGTAAACACGGAACTCCGTAACCAGCATCCTATAGTAAACACGGAACTCTGTGACCAGCCTCATCAAGACCCAGCATTCCTGGCAGCTTCCGAGCGCGCCTGGTATGTGTCTGTTTATTAGAGAGCTCCTATTATGAATTGATATTTGATTAATGCCGTTATACTAGGAAGCAGTTGATGAGTCCTAAAATTTGATGGATGGTCTTCTAAACCTGATAACGGTAAGTACATACAGAGTGCAAGTTTTTTTTTTTTAAATTACATATAGTATATTTTTTTATACTCTAATGTAAAATTGTGTTATGGGTTGATTTTTATTTTTTTTAGTTTACTTAAGTTAAATGAACTTTAAAGCCTTTTATGTAAATTTTAGAAGTTATGTTCAAGCAACAATAAAATCACCATGTCGACCGATAATTTATACATATATCGTGTAAAAGTTAACTGTTTGCTACAATACACTATATACTTCTTTAAAGTACATGTACTCGTATATTAGGTGACCCTCTGTTTAAAAAGTGTTCCGTACTATCAATATTCACGATATCATACCGATAGTCATTGGATAATACTTGCAACCCTTTGAACAAGTGAGTAACTTGAAAACTACCACATTTTGAAGTTTTACATATACCGGTACACAAAACTTTTGATATCAGCGATTTCTCTCCGATTGCATGACCCTTGGTTGGTTCCGACCTTACCATGATGTAAGAGTGCTCGACGTTGGTGCATCGATATCGACGATTTTGTATCAATCTATTTCGTAATCGCTACTTTATAGTATTTATGCGTAAACACATTGCGATAAATATGACTGTGTTACAAAAAGACAGCTCTTGGTAAAGGGGAAAACACCTTCATCATAGTCGTTGACCTTTTGACCTTTACAGTTCATACCATAAATGACCTTCCATACTAATTATGTTCCCCAAACGAAGTTGGGGAACATATTGTTTTTACTCTGTTTCTTATTATGTTCCCCAAACGAAGTTGGGGAACATATTGTTTTTACTCTGTTTCTTATTATTATTATTATTATTATTATTATTATTTTTCTTCTTCTTCCTGGAACTTTTTTGTCCGGGAATGATCTTGTAAACTGTTCGTCCGATGTAGGTAAAACCGTTTTAGGGTTAGTAGACATGTTATGTAGATGTGCGGAATCAAGGTCATTTTGCGCGCACGTGCTTGCAAGAGCGTGCACGTGCAACACGTGAAATGACCAATATAATAGATATAGCCACAACTGTTCTATTTTTAAATGAAATGCTTTGAAACTCATAATGTGAGGATATATTAGTAGTATAGACATGACAACATGGTGAAAATAGCAAGATCTCACGCGCATGCACGTGCACTTCGCTCTGATTGGCTGCAACTAAAGTCTCAATATCTTTCTTGTTTTTTGACGAAATCCTTTGAAATTTTGAACATAGCCATGCATTAGGATATCCTACAACATGAAATAAAGCAATTATCATGAAAACACGTGCATGCACGTGCGCTGCAATCTGATTGGCTGAAACTTTAAACAGCTATAACTCCCTTGGTTTTCAACCAAACAGGATGGGATTTGGAACATAGATAGATATAATGGACTTCTACAAGTAGGTATGGTCACCATGCACATGCATACACGTGCGTGTACATGTGCTGCAATCTGATTGGCTGAAACTTTAAACAGCTATAACTCCCTTAGTTTTCACCCAAACGGGGTGGAATTTAGAACATAGATAGATGTAATGGACTTCTACAAGAAGGTATGGTCACCATGCTCATGTATGCACGTGCGTGCACGTGAAATGAGTAAAATCAAACATACACTTGAATGAGCGTATTTTTTTTAAATAATTTTGGATTAAATACTTTAATATTCAGTATATTAAAAATATAGATTGTGTAGACAAGATGATATGGTCATGACGCAAATGCATTCACATGTGCACGCGTGCAATGCTAAAGTTTAAATGATTTTTGTACACTTCTTTGTTAATGTTGTTAAAATCTCAGATGCATAGAGGTTGTTTAATGAAGCTTACAGGGAATATGGCACCAAAAGGGAGTTGTGGAGCGTTTGGGGAACATCTGTAACGGTCCCCGTTACAATTAGCACTAGTTATTATTATTTTTCTTCTTCTTCCTGGGTACTTTTTTGCCCGGGAATGATCTTGTAAACTGTTCATCCGATGTAGGTAAAACCTTTTTAGGGTTAGTAGACATGTTATGTAGATTTGCCTAGTCAAGGTCATTTTGCGCGCACGTGCTTGCAAGAGCGCGCACGTGCAATACGTTAAATGACCAATATAATGGATATTGCTGTAACTTTTCTTTTTTTTGATGATTTTTTTTTAAACTCATAATGTAAGGATACATTAGTAGTATAGACAAGATGGCATGGTCAAAATAGCAAGATCTCACGCGCATGCACGTGTGCTTCGCTCTGATTGGCTGAAACTAAAGTCTCAATATCTTTCTTGTTTCGTGTCATAATCTTTTGAAATTTTGAACATAGACCTACATTATGAAGATCTACAGCATCATATATAAAGATGTTCATGAAAGCATGCGCATGCGCACGTGCTGCAATCTGATTGGCTGAAACTTTAAATGGCTATATCTCCTTTGTTTTTTGACGAAATGCTATGAAATTTAAAACATTGTCATGCATTAGGATATCCTAAAATATGATATAGAAAAAAATTCATGAAATCACGCGCATGCACGTGTGCTGCAGTCTGATTGGCTGAAACTTTATATGGCTATATCTCCTTTGTTTTTTGACGAAATGTTTCTAATTTTAAAATATAGTCATTCATTTAGATATCCTTCAATACGATAAAGATAAAAATATATGAAATCACGCGCATGCATGTGTGCTGCAATCTGATTGGCTGAAACTTCAAATGGCTATAACTCCCTTGTTTTTCAACCAAACAGGATGGAATTTAGAACATAGATAAATATAAAGGACTCCTACAAGAAGGTGTAGTCATTATGCACGTGCGTGCACGTGAAATCAGTAAAATTAAAAATATTTTCGAATGAGTGTATTTTTTAAATACTTTTGGATTAAATGCTTTGATATTAAGTATATTAAAATTTTAGATAGTGTAGACAAGATTATATGGTCGTTACGCACAAGAACACACGTGCAATGCCTATTTTTAAATATATTTTGAATTTTTCTGGGAAGACCTTGATTAAGTCTAAATTCCATCAAGTATTTCTTATTTGATAGAAATTACAGGGAATATGGCACCAAAAGGGAGTTGGGGAGCGTTTGGGGAACATCTGTAACGGTCCCCGTTACAATTAGCACTAGTTTTACATAGATCCGTGTGTGTTTTCGAGGAGGGGTCCGCGTTTTTTAGGGGGGGGTTCGTCCAAGGTGATTTTTACGAAATTTAGTATTTACATTGAATAACTCGGCCAATTCCGGGGGGGGGGTGTTCCGAACCCCCCCCCCACCCCCCCGACGCTTTGCATTTTTATTTGGTGCCGGAGACTGGCTTCGCGGTAAACCACGGCCAAAATGTACGATCCTTTCCCATTAGGAGAAAGCCATATGCGGACTCCGAACAGTGGCTAGAGACGATGAGAAACAGATGAACGGTCTGAAGTTTTTAATTTGATTTTTGAAACTGTACTCCTCTTTTAATCAGTTGTTGAGCAAGACCTTGTGGCATTCGTAGACTTTTAACGTTTTCATCCCATAATACACCAGTATTCATTACTAGTAATCTCGTCTAAGAACGATTTTGAACGAAGACCTTGCAGGAAAATTTCCCTGAAAAAGATTAGAAAAGAAACTTATTGCCCTTACAAGGCTCATATAAGCGACTAGTTAAGTCTCCAAAGTGACCGTTTAAATCGACTTGACGCTCTTCAAATTCCGGGATTAATGATTTTTTGATGAAGAGGAGAAAAGAAGTTTAAAAGTTTGTATTGGACATATATTGTGTTTTCTTTCTCCCCTAAAACAACTTTTTCAATTTTTAGCTCTACTGGTCAGAGACCAGAAGAGCATATGCGATAGTAATGCGTCCGTCGTCCGTTCGTCCGTCCGTCCGTCTGTCTGTCTTTAAACAATTTTTCAAAATGCTACTCCTCCTACAGTTTTGGTCTGATTTTCATATAACTTGGCACACAAGTAGACTACACTAAGATATATAATTCTGTATATCGGTTTTTGATTTCGATGAACGGTGTTGCCGCGGTTACTAAAAATAGAAATTTCTGTGAAATTCTTTCAAAACACTACTCCTCCTACAGTTTTGGTCTGATTTCAATATAACTTGGTACACAAGTAGACTACACTAAGATACATAATTCTGTATATCGGTTTTTGATTTCGACCTGCGGTGTTGCTATGGTTACTAAAAATAGAAATTTCTGTGAAATTCTTTCAAAATGCTACTCCTCCTACAGTTTTGGTCTGATTTCAGTATAACTTGGCAAACAAGTAGACAATACTAAGATACATAATTCTGTATATCGGTTTTTTATTTTAATGAGCGGTGTTGCCGTGGTTACTAAAAATAGAAATTTCTGTGAAATTCTTTCAAAATGCTACTTCTACAGTTTTAGTCTGATTTCAATATAACTTGGCACACAATTAGACTACACTAAGATACATAATTCTGTATATCGGTTTTTGACTTCAATGAACGGTGTTGCCGTGGTTACTAAAAATAGAAATTTCGGTTAAATACTCTTAAAATGCTACTCCAAATACAGTTTTAGTCTGATTATAATATAATGTAATATAATTTATTGCTGTTTTAAAGTTTCAATTCCCATCTGCTTATAAGTACTTTTCTCTTCCTTTGCTACAAGTACAAACCAGTAGAGCTTCAGTCTCGACAGAGACTTCTGGTTTAGTCACGCACGTGCGAATGAAATTTCGCACCCGGAGCTCATGTAGACCAGTAATCCTGTTTGATGAAGAAACGGGACGATTTCCAGTATACATAAATGTTTTTATGAGTGGCCGTCTTAGTTAACTTTCTGTCAATAATATTGCTGATTCGAAATGGTTATATCACCTATTCATCTTCTAAATTGTTGATATCACGTATTCAAAAAGGTGAAATCACATTCTCGAATACGTGATATCATCTTTTTGATTTGAATTGATGATATCACTTATTCGAATAGTTGATGTCATCATATTTTCAAATAGGTGATATATCTTATTCATATCAAAAGACGATATCAC